TGATCACACATCATCCATCAGACAAATACTAAAAGAAAAAAACTGAATTTTACATAAGACTGCTACATCTTTAGGGACTTTAAGGCAGCTTATGATGACAGATCACAATTATATTTGACTATGGCAGACTTTATTGAGATACCAAAAAGATTGGTAGAATTAATTAAAATGACAATGATGAAAGTTGAATGTAAAGTGCAAGCACAAGGATATCTGTCTGAACCATTTAAAACTAGCAGAATAGGGAGATGTGCTATCTTGCACTCTGTTCAACCAGGCATTGGAGAGAGTCGTGAGAGACTCAGGAATAAACTTAGTAGTACATTATATACTCAAACTCTAAAAATAGTGGCATATGTTGCATTGGTTTTGCTCAGGCATAACCTGAAATAAAGCATTTGAAGCTTTCACACAAATAAAAATGGTGTGGAAAACATAGGACTAGTGGTTACACAGATAAATAAATATATGCTGACATTGTCAATGAATTCAACAAAACAAAAAAAAAACAAATTAGAACAACTTAGAAACAATGGCAGAATTCTGTTATTGGGGTCACCTATGATGGTTTGACAAAAACAATATATTCAAAAATAAGAAAGCAAATATGCATAACTGATCGCTGCTAATTTGGTATAGACCCTCAACTTAAAAAATGAGAAAAAACGATGTATATAATTTTTAATTTTCAATTCTTTTAATGCATTAATTAATCATTAATTATAAGGAATATTGGAACTATCATCATATCGATAGCATACACCCATTGCTCGCTTACGGCTTAAAAAAGCATGGATACTTACAACACAAGAGGAGAAATAGCTAATAATATTTGTAAGAAATGTACTGTTGAAGATATATTTCACAGTTATTGGTGGTCCATACAGAAGGTGATATAATTTTGAACTCTAGACTTTTTGGAGATGCAGATATTTGCATGGATAGAAGATGCACAATTGCCTGCAGTACGATCAATTACAATAAAGGCTCCTGAAATGAGAAAAATAAGAACCTGCTAAAAAACTATGTTAAACAAAGAGGGCATAACCTAAGCTCAGATATGTGAGTGAATGAAGCAGGCACTTGAAACATACATGGAAGAATGGAAGTATGTTTTGAGGTAGGCAAGGCTCACAAAGAGCTGCAATAATTCTCATAATTTTTAAAACCACAAAATCAAAGTTTCAGTGTGTATGAAAATACTTGAATAAATAAATATAAATAACATTTTGAATTTGGCCCTTAAAGGCTATTTGTTGCAAAAATGGAAATTAAAAATTATCTCTATATTCAGTAGCTACTTAGAATAAATACTAGTAGATTATCTATATGTATAACCTTGCCTTAAATTTATGGGTATTTATTAATTTTACTCCTTAAACATTATCAAAAGACCAATTATGGCGAAGTGACATGAAAGAAATTAATGATCCAATTTTTTGTCAAGAATAATTATCTTATTAAAAGTTTTATATTGATGCAGTCATTAGTTTAAAAGACAGGATAAGAAAAACTCTTATGTTAATATTTAGCTTTAGAAAAATTTATTTACTTCTTCAGGATATGCTACAATAATTTTAAAATTATTTTTGCAGCAAATAAGTACAATGAAATTGGATGAAAAACATTGTATAAAACAAGCAATAAAAATTATATGATGTTAATCCATAAAATTCTCAATATTGTTACAAAACATTAAAATTAAAATTCTTATTTCATTAAAAAATTATATGGTTTTAATTTCATCTAAGTTAAAGATAAAATAATTTGCTTATAAGTAATTCAATCAATGTCAGAAAGGCATTCCTCTATATTTATTATATTTAAAGTTTGTTGACAACTAGTTTTTCTATCCTTAAATGTTTGTACTTTATAAATCACAGAAGTATAGAGTAGTTAGTTTGTCAAATGTTCAGACTAGCAACAAAGTCAAGTAGTGCCAAATGTGAAAATTTGAATTTAAAGGAATACACTTATGTTTATTTATGCATATGATCTCTAGAAATTCTGTTTTCTTTAATTTGTTTTCATATCCCAGTATACTGGTTTCCTTGAAATTAAATTAATGATTTTTACTAATTGCATGTTACATTAATTTACATGTATTTTTATTATTTCTGACGTCACTTTTGTGTGACTTCAGGCTAGTCTGTTTCTGTAGATTTCTAGATGTGTGTTTGATATATGACATCACAATTTGCACATGGTATTATATAAATTATTATTATTATTATAAGTTTTAGTTATGTATAAAATGATGCCTATGTTTTTATATTTTTATTTGTCATTTTAATTTGAGCATAGTTAGCAAAGGCTTTAGTTAGTTTGGATGTTAATGATGATGTATAAAGTAGTTGTGTAAAAGTAAATTGAGATTGATTAATTTGGCGATTTAATTCTGTTGTTTAATTTATGTCAATCAATTTATTATGGGGTTGTTAAATAATAATTTGTATTAGTCTAAATGGGTAAGAATTCTACAATAAAATTCTTCTGTGTTAAAGTTCCTGACTATGTTCACATTAAAATTACAACTAGGACTATAAAACATTGGCATCATTGGACACAAAAACTAAAACATTTGTCAGCATTATAATATAGTTAATAAAATACTAAATGTGTGTGTGCAAATTGTGTGATAAGTCGTACATTGGACACACATATAGGAATCTAACAGTTAGACTGACTTCACACAAAATAGACCTAAGAAATAATAAAAATACAAATAAATTTCAATGAGATCAGGATACATAGACATGAAAACAAATTAAATGAAAAAGAATTTCTAAAAAATTGATAAATGCATAAATAAACAGCAATGTGTTAATTAAAAAATTTAAATTAATAACTAAGAATTTACATTCTGTCTTAAAAAAAATATATATTTTACTTTTTTCTTCTTCTTGATGTGCCTATCTGTTACGAATGTTGGTGATCATCATGGCAATCTTTATCTTATCTCCAGCAGTGAGGAAAAGCTGCACAGATGTTGTATTGAACCAGATTTTGAAGTTCTGTAACCAATATGTTGTTCTTCCTGGACCTCGTTTTCCAAATATTTTTCCTTACAGGATGGCTTGAAGGAGAGCATATCTGGATTCATTTAACATAATATGTCTGAAGAATTGTAACTTTCGAGATTTGATGGTGGTCAGTACCTCTTGGTTCTTTATTATTATTAATAATTTAATATTATTATTAGTAATATTAAATGTTCTGACTTTAAATTCAAAATTTCAAATTTTCACATTTGGCACCCTACAGTGCACAAATAGAAAAACTAGTTATCAACAAACTTGAAATATAATAAACACAAATGAGTGTCTTTATTCCATTGATAGACTTTTTTGTGACAATATTGAAACTTTTATGGGTTAACTTCACTTTTGAAGTTTTTATTGCTTATTTTATACAATGTGTTTCATTTGAACTTCAATGTGTTTGCTAAATGTGAAAATATTTTTAAACTTATTGGAGCATATTCTGAAGAAGTAAATACATTTTGTAATCCCCTTCATTGTATTAAATTCATTTAAAATAATATTATTTAAGCAAAAATCGTATTTAAAAATTGATAGCCATTACATATCAAAATATAAATATCACATTACTTTATCAGGTTATCCAAATTTACAGGAACATATTTCTGAAATTAACAAGAGTACTTATAGAATCTGCAGATAAGAATTAAAATATAAAAGTTAAATATTTTATCTGTAAAATCAGATAATTTCTATGAGAATAACTATTGTACTGATGCTGATATAAGATATCAGTACAAAGCATGTGATGGAATCCAAAATTTATGTTAAAAGAAGAAAGTGACAACCCAGCAAAAGATGGATAGACTAGAGACTAGATCATAGATATAGGGAGAGAAAATGAAAAACATCAACAAAAGAAAAAATTTCTAAGACAAATAATAAGCTGCATTTTAGATACCAATACAGTTCTCAAGTTTTCCTTTTGCTTTCGGTATAGAATGATGTTGATTAAAACATATATAGAAAGATAAAAAAATATTTAGTCATGTTGTCATAAAAAATATTACAAGCTGTGAAATAATGTATAACAAACTTTATATTACAAAAGTGATTAAAACTGAAAACAAACGAGACAAAGCTAATTAGTAGAAATAAACAAAATAAGTATTAATATAGAGTATTAATAAACAAAGTATACTAAAGCTATTCACAAAATGTGAACAGCTAAATTTCAATCAATAAACAATAAGAAAAAAGAGGAAATTGAAAACAATTGCTATCTTTTAAGTCTCTATTTATCACTTGTATCTGACATGTTTGAATATGGTTTATTCAAAAGGTTGCACATTACAAATTACATTTCAATTTCATTAACAAAAACATAATTAGACTACTGATTCCACCTTATCAAGTAAGTATATACAAATAGGTGTGCAATGGCAGGATCAAATGAAAATTACAAACTTTACAAAACACTTTAATGTAATGTAATTGAAAATGTGTTCAGCATTTTTAGAAAACAAGAAATGAAGCAGTATAATATTATAAATATATAAAAGGTGAAAAACACCATAGTCTTATGCCCGAAAAGAAATTACAAACGAAATTAGTAATGTTAACTATTTTTATACCAATCACACCTATATATCCAAGCACTACTACAATTCTATGGACAAAAAATAAGTTGTTTGGATTTCAAACAACAAAGAAGTATTACATATGATGTGATTATAAAACAAATGTAAATTTTGTAGTTTTAATTTTGTCGCAAATTTTAATTCACGTTCAAATGGATAATCAAGGTAAACACAAGAAAAGAAATAAATCGTAAATTCTTACGCATTAGGTAAATTACGCCAACTTTATCTATGGTAAAACCCATTAAGCAAAACTTGTAATTCCTGGAAAACTGCACCCCAAGAATGCGTTATATTGTAAATTGGTAAGACAATATATTTTTTGTTAAAATATACATGCCTTATTCTGATATAAAACTATAAAAGAATGATTACTTACCGTCACAACCGCATCCTTCGCAATTGATTTTCTAGATCTAATGATCATTCCAACCATTCTCTTCGACGACTTCGCCTTCATCTTCTCCCCTTCTTCTACGTTACTGTCCATCTAAAACTTCTTTAAAAACACTGTAAAATCAACATTTTTTTCTTAATATTATTTTATCGAACCATCATCACCTCAGAGGCCCACTTAACAATTTGACACTTTGACTTGATTGACGTAACGATATGCAAACATCGAAAGACGTATGACGTTTGACATATATTGTTCACAAATTAAGTAAGAGATGGCACATTTTTAAATTACAAACATTTTTTCGACATATTTTATTAATAATATCGTCAGTAATAACTAAATAATAGGTGTATTTATATTTACAGGATGTCGCCAAAATATTGTAATTGATTGAAATAAAATTTAAATCATTGATTCAATTTTACATATCCCCATATCCTTTTCTCTTATTTATTTTTTACTACAAACAAAATATTTATTATTGCTTTCTTATGTATAAGTCTAAAAAATTTCTTAAACATGTAAACCTGCAAAAATTTGTTTAACAAGACATTCAATTTAAATATTCTCTTATATCATTACATCAGAACAAATTATTCATGTTCCAATGGAGGACTTAATTTAATTTTATTATATGGTTTGATCCACTGGAGTTATGCCACCAGTTAGATATACATATAAATTAAAGTCAGCTTCATTGTCTTTAGAAAGTATCATTAACTATTTTCGAACAACTTCACCCCAGGAGAGTAAGGAAAGAGTTATTATCCTAATCTTTATTAAACAGATAAACAAAACAAAGCATATTTTAAAAATTATATACTGGTAAAAGTCTATAACCATAAAACGCCAGTTAGTTTTTTGTTTTAACGTTTGTTATCGCTTAAAATTGACTAAAAATGAAGCTCTCCTGTAGTCCTGTAGTATTAGATTCCATGGGATGTGGAGCCACTTTCGCTTTTGACGTTTTAAAAATTTCGCATAACCAAATATGGGGATTTCTTGAAACTAATGTGAACTAGATATGAAGTGTCTGTTAAAAATATTCTTTTTTTAATTTCTGAATAAAATTTAAATGTAATTAATCGTTTTAAACGTATATTTATAGGATATTAATTATAAAAACCCAAGGTACGTAAAATTTTAAGAATCAAAACATAAATTTCATAGGTTATGTTTAATAAATTAATTTATTCTTATAAGATTAAACTCAGATTAATAAGTTTATTGTACTATATATTAATGCACCTCTGAGTTAACTACTCAAAGTGGATACATCTTACTTAATTTTCTTTTAATGTCCATTCCAAATATAGTAATTTGCAAAAGGAGAACACACAAATTTTAAAACCTTCAAACATAACACTTCTGAACTCCAGAATAAATAACACCTTGTATCCTGTCTTTGGGAATAAGGTATTCCACAATTTTAAGAAGTGGTAGTTTTAATTAAGAATATTTTGCTGAGTGAATCCAATGCCTTTGTATTCTGTTTATGAATGATTCTTCTGCCTATGAATTACATGCTGAAGTTGAAACTGGTTGTAATAAGCATTCTTACGGAAGCTTTTCTATGTGGGTCATTTTTAAACCACCCTTAAGAAATTGAAAATTTTTTATGTGATCATTTCATCCTTTTTTTAACTTACATATAATAAACTAAAAAGATGAAGTCTTATGGTTTTGGTTTTACTATATATAGGTATATGATATGTGACCGATATAGTACCAAAAAACCATTAACATAAAACTCAAGAATAAATGTTTTTAATTATAATTCAAACCTTTGGGAAAGTTAACACTATGTGCCACCTTAATAAAATTCTAACCTAAGTAAAATTGTGTCATTTTTACCACATTTAGATATTATGCCCAGGTTAACAGCTATTTTGTTACATATATTACATACACATTACATTGTCATAGAAATAATTCCTATAACATTTTCTTATATTTTAGATGTCTTTCCGTGTGGTGCGCAGTTCCAAATTCCGCCATGTCTATGGCCAAGCTTTAAAAAGGGAACAATGCTATGATAATATTCGTGTTTCTAAGAGTTCATGGGATTCAACTTTTTGTGCTGTGAACCCTAAATTTTTGGCTATAATTGTAGAAAGTGCTGGTGGAGGTGCCTTCATAGTGTTACCCCACAATAAGGTATTTATATTTCAATTGTATTATTTTTTGTAAATTTAACAAAAAAGGGCTTATTTGAACTCAGATAACCTGAACAGAGATTTTGTAAAATTGGTTTTAAATTTTTTTTTGTTTCTTATTTATAACACTTTTATCTTATATAAACTTAAATGTCACTATACAATTTATGGCATGATTAATATATCACAAAATAAGAAAATTATAACTTGACTTGATAAACAGATTCAACTCTTTTGGCAGATAATTCTGTTTGTAGATATTTGATTATACAGTAAAACTTGCTGTTAAAGTGCAGATAAAATCATTACAAAATTAAGTAACTAAATATTATTCCACAAAAAAAAAGATTTCCATTTCAATTATTTTTTATTTCTAATTTATTTCTGATACTGTACAGTGTACACTACTGTTTACACTTAGATTTTTCTATTAAAACCTAAAACTTCTTCTATTAAAACTTTCTTTTCTTTAAATTATTAATTAAAATGGTAAAAATGGAGCAGATATTTTAGTAATTGTTCAATACTTCATCTTCTTAGATATTTATTTAGTCTCACTCCCATTAACAGTTATTCAAACTAGTAAGGTGATGTTTTGTCTTTTGCCCTGTGTCTTTATGTCGTCATATTTATGTAGTTTTGACTTTTGAGGTTGTTTTTTAAAGTGAACATCAAAATGTCAAATTAAATTTTGTTTAAAGCAGAATTGTGGCTTATTTCTAATAAAAATAATAAATTGCATTATAATGTCACAAGGAAATAGTTTCAAAATAATATGAAGAAAAGTGGCTAAAGGATATTTGTCATTTTCATTAAATTTGAACCATTTTAATAATATATAAGCTCATTATATGAGCTAATAATAAGCTCATAGTGTAGTGAAGATATCATTCTCAATAAATTTAGTGTTGTATTTGCAGTTTCTTCCTTCTCCAGGTATTTTAACAATATGTGGAACCACTTCAGAGTTTCAGGAAATACATATGCTGCTTATTTTAGTAATTTCTTTGAACTGTTTTAAGAAGTTTGATGCATTGTTCCATTAACTCCAACTGAGAAGGTGTTGAATTATTTAAAGATTCATAATCTGTTATGTACAAGCAGCTTACTTTGCTCGAATAATTACTCCATTAACTAATAGGTATAATTCCAGCAAATGCTAACATCTGTTACTAGTTGGTGCTCTGGTAAGTTAAGTTCTTGACAAATTGATTTCAACTTTTGTTGAAACATTTTATTTTTTTCAACTTTTTCAATTTCAACTTTTGTTACCGTAGTGGTTAAAATAGGTAACAATTTATCTCGTAGTAGCTATCATATATTCTGTGAATATTTGACACTTCATGGCATATCTAGTATACAGGCTCTTTTGTTTTCTGTGATTGTTGTGGGTTATATGACCTCTTTTAACATCCCTATGGTAGTATTAATTTCAATACATATTATATATATATATATATATATATATATATATATATATATATATACAGTCCATCTAATTTACTTACCTTTGCACATCATTATCATTGACAGAGATTGAAGTTGCCAAGGTATAAAAAAATTCTGAATCCATTTTAAATCAAATAGGTCACATAATTATTGCAAAAGTGTATACAAAAAAACAAATTAATATTTAATGTAAGTAAATAGAAACACAACAAGCGTTAAAAAATAATTTTGTTAAAAACAATTTGAGCCGCTTGTTTATAAAACAACATAGTTTAATTAATAGTAAATAATAAAAACAAAACTAAAGTGTCAACACCCCAACTGTCAAATAAGTGTTACCAATTTATGCCAAAATATCACCTTCGTTTGATTACAGTTACAGTGTGTTCCAAACAAATGTTTTTCATAAAAACGCTTTATAATGCATTTATACAAATTAAATGAAACATATTATTGTGTATTTCTTTAAGTTAACATTAATAGAAATCTTTAAATATTATTTCTATGCTTATATAATAAAATATGTCTTGTGGCTCTAATGCCAGTGTACTCAGCAAAGTGATTCTAAAAATGAACACCCCTACCACTTAAATATTTCGTGTTGTAAAAACAAAATGTTAAGAAAGCCTACGGCTACAGTTGTTTTAATTTCAATATTTTAGTGAGGAATACGGCCTGAGCCTCAACTTCAAGAAGACAAAGTGTATGCTGATAAGCAAAAAGTAACAACCTGCTCGACAATTACGGATAAGTAACATACTAATGGACCATGTAGAATCTTATGTGTACCTTGGCACCAACGTAAATGCAAAATGGGAACAGGCCACAGAAATTAAGGCGAGAATAGAACGAGCTAGAGCAGCATTTAGCAATATGAAAAAGCTCCTCATAAGCAAGGATTTGTCTCTTCGCTAAAACTATGTCTAGTTAAATGCTACATTTTCCGATCTTACTGTATGGTGTGGAGGCCTGGACGCTGACGGAGACGCTCACGAGAAAACTAGAAGCATTTGAAATGTAGGTGTACCGACACATTCTTCGTATATTCTGGATCGAACATGTCACCAACATAGAGGTACTCCAAAGAATCGGAAAGGAGAAAGAAATCGTGAATACAATTAAAAAAAGAAAGCTTGAATATCTAGGCCACATATTGAGACACGATAAGTACCGTTTGCTGCAATTGATTGTCCAGAGAAAAATAGACAGTAAGCGAGGGCCAGGCATCAGAAGACACTCCAAAAAGTGGCTCCAAAATCTACGGAAGTGGTTCGGGCCCACATCGGTCGAACTATTCAGAAGCGCCGCAAACAAGATCAGAATTGCCATGTTAATAGCCAACGTTCGCAACGGACATGGCACTTGAAGAAGAAGAAGAATAAATGCTAAAATGTTCCACAGGGCTTTCCGAACTTTAAGAAAAGACACAGTATGATTATTACACCGGATATACAATGACATTTACCTGTCTAGCTACAATATTATTTCAACGGTATTCTTAAAGAATAAGGCTATAATACATCTAAAAAATCATTCAAATTGGACAACAGGTTTAGGGTTTCATGAACCCCCATGAAAATAATTATGGCGGCGTCCATGACACAGGATACTGAGATCAGTGTTGCCAACTGGAAAATCCAAGCAGGAGACAGAGCAGAATGGCGAAGAAAGCTTGAGAAGGTTGAGGCTCTTTAAGGTGTAGCACCATGATGATGATCTTTCAAATGTTCAATAGATGGTGTTACCAGAATCCCATCAGATGGAACCTAATGATTTTTACCTGGAAATATAGATGTTTCATACAGAGATAGATTGTCGGCAAAACAACCCATTTCAATATTATCGCTGGTCTGGTAATTCAAAGTGAAAATAGATAATTTCGCTCACTTCTCAATAAAAGACGCTTATTGTACCTTTATGTCTTGATTATTCGTTCTACACAGATTCGGGTTATTGTAGATTCGATCTTTGGGATTTTTTTTTTCAAAATAAATTTCTGGATAACACTATGCTGAGATACTGATCATTGATTGGATTATGATAATTGTTATTTCTGTTTTTTACATAACATATCTATATATTATTCTACAATATATAAGACATGTATTTAAGCTTGTTGTCAAACACATTCTAATATTATTTATTCCTAAAGATATATTTTACAATATCAGCATTTTGTAGATAGTTAAATAATTCAAAATTTAATTTTAATTTCGCGTATGTACAACATAATTACAATGCAAGTTAACCACAAGTGTTTATTGACTTCCGAATAATTAATATTAGATAATTGTCCAAAAATAAACAATAATCAATTTACGACTTTCATTTATAACCGCAATACCATGTTATTTTGAGCGGAAAATGGATTGATAAGTCTTATCAGGTAAGTATAATGTTTCTGTGATAAGATAGTTGACGAGTCCCATAAAAAATTTGGTCAATGACAATTAAAAACGAAATAATCAATTGTTTGATATTAAACTTTATCTACCAGTACTTACTGCCGAAACATTTTCTATTTGTTTTGCACTGTTTTATTTTAAATTATATTATTTCATTAAATGGAATTGTTGAAATTTTATATACGATATGAGTTATATACGATATAAATATATAGAAATAGTCTCTAAGTATGTGCAAGTATTGTTCCTTTTATCAATCCATTGGTGTAACCGGGACCGACAGCTTTACGTATTTTCCGATGACGGTGACGGCTCAGTTAAATTATAATTTGAAACATTTCTGAAAAAAGAGAAAAAGTATAAAGAACAAATAAATTAAAAATAAACCTTAACCCTTGTTGTTGCCATGTCGACACAGCTTTTTCTTCTTCTTGTAGTGCCCATATGTTTCGGACTTTGGGACCATCATGGCAATCTGCATTTTGCAAACTGCTGCTGTTTTCCTTTTACTTTTCCTTATAGAATTAATTGCAGCAACCCCTATCTTTCGCTGTTCCTCATGATGTGACCGAGGACACAGGTTGGTAACTAAATTCACGTTAATAAATTGGTGAAAACAGGATCGTTTCTATTGTGTCAATCTGAAATGTTTAGTTTATGAAATATCGACGATTAAAGTTGAAAATATACAAAAAACATTTGGATTTTTTCACGCTGATTACGATACTGTGAGAATTTTGTGACCTGGCTTCTAGATAGCGAGATATCGACAATCAAAAAACAGCTTTGAACTTTATTGATTTTAGATTTTAAAAGAGTTGTGTGGTTTCAGAGACCTTTGCTCACTTCGATTTGAAAGATATTTTGTGTATACATGTTTTACCTATCTTAACCAAGGACCAATTCACTTTTATTGTCGATATCTCAATACCTAGAACTCATATCCCAAAAGTTCTTGCAGATTCGTATTCACCATCATCAAGTTTACCTTCTTCCTTGAGTGCCTTCTCTTAATCGGTAACAATTTTAGCAATGTCTTTGTTTGGGTCTTCCTCAGCAAATTGTTTGAGTCCAAGCCGGTCCACTGTCTGCGTCCTGGTCCGCGACTATTTTCTATTTTATTCTCTATTATAGAGTTTAAGAATGT